GGTGATGTTCGCAGCTATGTCTCTTAGCCGGCCCAGAGAGCAAACGGTCCTGTTTGCCCCACAGCGTAGTCAGGTGTAATACGGGGAAACTGAGGCACATGTCGACATTGTAAAACGGTTAGAGACGGTTCCCATTTCATTGCAGCCCTGTAGGTGCTACAGCCGGCCGTGTGGCCATCCCAATAACCATGGGCTAGACTCCTCTGTCCCTGCCGTCATGGGATGAGCTGCGTAAGAACATCCATCCTGGATCAGAACAAAGGCCCATCTAGCCCAGTGTCCTGCCTTCGGACAGTGGCCAATGCCAGGTGCCCCAGAGGAAATGAACAGAACAGGGAATCATCAAGTGATTCCTCCCCTGTCGGCCATCCCCAGCTTCGGCCAAACAGAGGCTGGGGACACCAGTCCTACCCCATCCTGGCTAAGAAGCGTTGATGGGCCTGTCCTCCATGAATCTATCTCGCTCTTTTTGGAACCCTGTTCAAGTCCTGGCCTTCACAACATCCTCTGGCGAGGAGTTCCACAGGTTGACCGTGAAGAAAAACTTCCTTTGGTTTGTTTTAAACCTGCTACCTCTTCATTTCCTTGGGTGACCTCTGGCATGTATTAGGGTCCCCAGTGGTGCCCATCTCCTGAACTCTGCCCGGGTCCCTAATGGGCACCACGCACGCCAGTTTCATGCCCACTTTGCTAACAGTTACTCTTCGGAGAGAAGCGAGATCTCAGACTTTCCGCGTGGCTGCAGCCGCTGGGTCTGGTCAGCAATGGAAGCTGCTTTCCAGGGGTGTGGAGAGGCCAAGTCAGTGGGAGCCTCTGAAAATTAGGCTCCCGGTGGGATCCAGGGGGCCATGCTCTTGGGCGTGGAGTGCTCCAAGTAGCAGCCCCCCACCGCATCCCACGTAGGCAGGGTCCACGTGGCACCTCCGGGCCCAGGTCTCCAGAGCAGAGCGTGGAGAGCGAAATGTCCCCCTCTGTCCTGCCTCAAGTCCGCTCAGTTCGCTCTGTCGCCGCCA